ATATATAAGGTTCTTGTGATCGAGAAAAAAAAGGTGATCTTTAAAAATATTGAGCCGTTTGGCGTGATCTATGCCCTCAAAATAAAGAGGTTCTAATGGCCGAATGGCTCAATATTTTTTAAGGCTACCTTTTTCTCGACTTTTTGCTCAAGTTATCTTTCGATTCAAGTTGAAAGGAAATGGGCATTTACGAGTTTTTAGTACCTAATCAAATGGAGAAAGTTTGCCGACCTCCAGATTGAAAACGCCCCAATTCCGAGAATATTCGTAAATAAAATATTTGTAGGACACGATGAGATGAAGTTATTTACGAAGTTTCAGCCGGATGTTAATAATTTGATAAAAAGGAGCCTGTACCAGGGACTATAAAATTGAGTTCTATCACACGTCTTTGCCAATAAAAAAATACTTTAACGCAGGGCAAATAAGTCTTAGGTTAACACAAAAAAATTATCACATAATAGAACAGTGATTTTTTTAAATAATTTGTTTTCTTTTTTTTAATTCACAAATGTCAATGTTCACTGACAACCAGTGAATGAGATTACAATATACAAATAAACTATAAGAAAGGGCGTGGTAGGCACGGGAAAGAGAATAACCCAGTGGTCAGTCTTTGGTCATATTACATGTTAATCAAGGAGATCTCACATCCAACTCTTTTTCAAAAAGAAATTTAAAATGATAATTACTTCCTCTCATACAAAGAAATATTTAACGCCTGTTCGAAGGAATGCAGACCCGCAATACTCTGCAGATGATTAGGTTTGCAGATACACTATTTCGCAGGGGTCATTGAAGATTCCAATTCCTGTATTTATATTTCTAATAAATTTAAATGGACATAATAACAGACTTATAAGAGACATGGCCACAGCTGACATACCTCAGAACATGAGGAGGAGATTAAAAGGCGTTGGATGAGGGATCTCCTTCCTTAGACAACCTAAGTAATTGGAACAAGTTAGGGAAGAGGTACTGCTGAGTACTTTCCTTCCCCATGCCTATCATGTTATTATATCAATATCGCCATCACATTTGCTGATTGTCAACTTATTGTTGACAGGCGCAAATATATATTTTATAGACAAAAAAAAAAAAAAAAAAAAAATTTCTAATATGCACCTTAATAAGTTGGAATTTAAACCTCGACAAACTTAAATGATTCTGCAATCCCGCTTGCCAAGTCTGTTAAATACTTAGGTTTAACACTCGATGATAAACTTCTATTTAATCAATACATTAATGTAAAATTAGAAAACACCCGAAAAATAACATCCGTTTTCCTATTTCAATAAAAAATCAAAATTATCACACAAAAACAAATTAATTCAGTAATAAGACCGAACTTAACATACGCCTGCCCAATATGGAGCTTCGCTGATACGACTAATATTGAAAAACAACAAGTATTCCAAAACAAATGCCTCAGAATGATCAACAATTAATGGTATTATACAAAAATATGTAAGATGTCCTTCAAATTAAATATTCCCCACAGACAAGAATACATTTACGATACTACCTTAACCTTCTTTCAATCTTATCAACACTCCTCAAATTCAATAAAATTAACATTGAAATATAAACAAGAGAATAAAGCATATTCTGCTATAAAATAGTCTGTATTTTAATTTATTGTAAATGGTATTTTTTTTCTTGAGTTTCTCTTGATGATTTCTCTGATTCCTTCAAGTAAAAAAAATAAGGAATTATAATAGAAGTTCATAATTATTCACTGCTAAGTACTCAGAGTTGAGAACTAATAAATTCTGGTTATCCTGGCAAATATTTTGATGTTATCTTTGTACTACATTATACATTGAAAAGTTTAATTTGTTAATCACAATTGTTTCATTCGAAAATTAAAAGCTTTAATATTTTTCTTATACATACTATCTTGTTTCATATCTTGTAAATATTTGATATGTTAAATGCATAAAAAAAATTATTATAATGTTTTATATACCTAAGTACATGTGCTGGTAATTATTTTCCAAATGTAAAAATAAATACAATTATTTATTTTTAATTTTTTTTTTTACTGAGCCATCCTTATGAATCAACATTGACTGGGACCCAATCATTCTCTTCACAAACCCTTATACATCTACATATATAGTTGAAAGTTGAACTTTTACTTTTAATTATAAGATTGAATATTTAATAGGTATTTTGATAGATTTTACAATATCTTAATTTTCTATTTATATCTACTTCTGTTCATTTATCCTAATTTTGGTGTCTTGAGGTTTTATTTTTAAATAAAATATATTTTTGTTAATATAAACGAAAAAGCATATTACTTTTTTCATTAAAATCTATTCAAGTAAATGGTTTATAAAAAGTGTTATATACAAATTTTTATTAATGAGCTTTGAAAATAAAAGGTAAGAAAATAATGGCACATATCAATAAAAGGAAAAATTAAAAATAAAAAAAACACCTTATATTGGTACATTCGCTACATCCTTATATTAGTATATATTAATACATGTTCCCATACATCTTTTTTTACATTATTTTAACTTTTTATTCTCTTGAACGTAGTCAGTATTTTGATAGATTTTACAATATCTTAATTTTCTATTTATATCTACTTCTGTTCATTTATCCTAATTTTGGTGTCTTGAGGTTTTATTTTTTACATAAATTAGACGACTTATCACCAAACATTTTATTGGTACGCTATTTAATTCGACGTTTCGACTGTACTAAGGGTCATTTTCAAGTGTGTTAGGTTTACATTACCATCTATTAAGTCAATAAAGGCACGTTAAAAAGGTTTCCATTGGTCCGTACTGCGCTGATATATTCCTGGGTCACGAGGTGGCCTCCCAGTTGTTATATTTCTTCTGTTCATTTATCGTAATTTTGGATAAATTAGCGCAGTACGGACCAATGGAAACCTTTTAAACGTTCCTTTATTGACTTAATAGATAGTAATGTAAATCTAACGTACTTGAAAGTGACCCTTAGTATGGTCGAAACGTCGAATTAAATAGCGTATCAATAAAATGTTTGGTGATAATTAGCCTAATTTATATATTTCTGTCTATTTTTTCTTTTTTAACTTCATATTTCTTTTCTGTTTTACACTTTATTCTAGGATTATCATTTTCATTTCTTATATTATCTTATTTTTATTATGCTTATTTCATTGGTCCGGGCTTTATTACCGTTATTATTATTTACTTCTTAGTTCGCTGTAACTATTATCACTCTACCTACTTTGTTTTACTTTAATGTTCACTATATCATTTGACTTTAAATTTTTTCTACCTAAATTTTTAGTCTATACCTTTCACTTTTTAAATTTTAATTCTTTGTTATTCAATGTTTATAGTTTCTTATACCTGTTGTTATCTGGTTCTTTTCTCAGCCCCGTTGAAGGCCTGAACTTCGGGCTGAAACGTCAGCAAATGTAAAAATAAATACAATTATTTATTTTTAATTTTTTTTTTTTACTGAACCATCCTTATGAATCAACATTGACTGGGACCCAATCATTCTCTTCACGAACCCTTATACATCTACATATATAGATGAAAGTTGAACTTTTACTTTTAATTATAAGATTGAATATTTAATAGTTGACCGTTGCATTATAGAGGAAGAAGATGGTTCAGGGTGGCGGTCATAAATAGGCTAAATAGTGACTAAACTATTTTATTAAAAGCCTTTTAATAAAATAGTTTTGCCACTATTTAGCATATTTATGACCAACACCCCGGACCACTTCCTTTCTCTTTAATTATAACAGTTACTGTTTCATTTGACCTCAGGTGTTTTGTCTAAAATATTAATTGAGCCATTTATTTTGAAAGTGGCCTGCCTCCATTTATCTTTGAATCGAGATATTTAAGGGTTTGCGTTTCAATGAATTTAAAAATATACATATAGGATACTAATGAGTCATACTGCTTAAGTGTATCTAAGGGTGTTAAATTTATGGTTCATATTAAAATAGTAACAATTATTAAGTGATTAATGTGCGTTTTCATATCAAGAATGGAGTTAGGCCACTTTCAAAATTAACAACCAGATTCATTATAAAATTTGAAGGTACCCAAGTCCATTCAACATAATTTAAGATGCTTCAAATTGAAAAACACAATACTCAATTTATTTTACATAACATTAAAACACTTCGGACAACACAATTAATGCGATTCAAAACATTTTTTATTTCCAGAACATACAAATTACTATACATTTTATTAACAAACAATTTACTATTCATCTACGTTTTGCGCGTGAGAAAGGGATTTGAAGTAGTCATGATGTTCCGGTGGTATATATCGCAATAGGTCAATCATGTCCTTAAATTTTGATGTTGTAATTTGTCTGATATTTTTATAGAGTGGTGTCAATACAATATTTTCGAATTTTCTTGGTCTGCCCCGACGTGGTAATAAATTCAGGACTTTAAACTTTTCATTCTCATTCATTGTTGTCTTATAGAAAATTTTATACGGTTCACTTCTGATAAAACGCATCCAAATTATTTGTAACCAGCTCACTGATTCTCCATCAGAATTCTTTACCTTTTTAAAAATTGCGTCTTCTAAGAATTTTGTTGATACAAAATCGTTTTGTCTCATTTCATTTACAATAAAATTATTACCTTTCCGACACTTTTTAATAATCTTGGGGAACGAACATTATCAATATTAAATATCTTGATGTAAGTATAAAATAAATGGAGTTAGGTCACTTTCAAACTACATGGTTCAGTTATTGAACTAATTCTGAAAACTTATGTGTCAAAAATTTATCGTATTCGCTCGGAATATAAGCAACCTGAAATGTTTTACTGATATATAGTATGAAGTTGTACACGTAACCATGGTAACGGGCAAAAAATTGAAAAAACGGAGTTAGACCACTTTCAAAATAAATGGCTCAATTGATAAATTGATTATAATTGGAATTCAACTTTATAATTTGTTTGGGAATATTAAAATGTTTCAGCAACTGTGGCAGTGAAACCAGGACAAATGCAACCGTTGAAATTGGCAATTCTAATACAAAATGAAGGAAATTATTACTGGGACATCAAGATAAAGCAACTGCCCTGCTCTCAACTCAAATATTTTCAAGGTGATTAACAAAACAAAAAAATTATACTATAGTAGGGTAAACACATCAGTAATGGACAGGTTGGACTTTAAATGTAAATAATAAGCTTCCTTGTTGATTTAAAGGTTTCAGTTTTTGCTAGATTGAAGCAATGTCCTCTATTGACAACTGCATGAACAAAGTTCCCAAATGAAAATTTTAAATTGCCTATCATTGTTGTTTCTATAGTGCTTTTGAAATCAGTGTGTCCCCTACCTTCCTAATAACAGTTTTGCTAAGAATAAGTTGAACATTTATCTCATCTTATCTGTATCATGATCCTTATAGTTTAATAAAAATTTAGAATTTTTCCGAGATATGTCCATTACTGGTACCGACCCCCTGTCCATTACTAAAACAATTGAAGTTCGGGGTGTCCATCACTAGTGCAAAAAGGTGTTGTTTTTTTTATGGAGATTATGTCTGCATAACTGAATATTTTTTCAATTTTAAACTCTACAGATTGTGACATCCAATGGAGAAGTTTATAACTATAATAATTACAGCGGCATAAGCCAAAAAAGACAAAAATTTCCTTAGCTATGTCAATCATTGGTGCGCTTACCCTAATGTAATAATATATGTAAATAATATTGTCTTAATAATTATTTTTTAATACCGTCTAACACTTTTCCATATTTCAGCACCTCCGCTTTGTGGTGAAGTGAGAAACGATATTTATTCCACATCGAGTTCCAATTTTTTTAATAATTTCAATGATGTCCGTTGGCTGCAAGACATACGTCATTGGAAAAATCAAATTCCACAACACACCTGGTGGAGTTACCCAGAACCAATATTCAACACTTTTTATTACAGTAGGTTAAAAGCTTCACATAGTTAAAATATATTTTGTTAATATCTTATTAAAATAACTGTACATAAATATTTGTCGTATTAATCCTCAGTTTGAAACAAGTTCTTTAAATCAAAGCTCATGAGTTCCATCTTGTTTCTTGGTTTTTATCATAACTTGAAATTTTTATGTAACTTTTTAAAAAGATTTGTTTTAATATGGATGATATGGAAAAGGAGGAAAAGTATTTGTGTATATAAATGTGTGATTCAAGCATAGTTATGTCCAAAAAAAGATTGATGAGTATGCTGTGTATCGAGCAGCCCTATATAGTAGGGCAGTACTGTTATAAATTAAGCATTTCTGTCCTTTCGTGGGACTTTTTTGAAAAATATATTTTAAAATAAAAGTTCCAAAAAACTTTTTTTGTAATAAAGTTCTGGGTTTATTTCAAAAGTTTAACTTTATTTATTTAAGTACTTAAAAAAATTATTATTATGGAAGGAAGCCATCCAAGGTTTAGGTTAAGGAAACCCACTATTAATGGAAGCTCCTAATAAAAAAAAAAAAGAAAAGTTATCTCAAATAAGAAATAAGAAGTATTGAGCCATTTATTTAACTTGAACTGGCTTCACTTACAAATATTTCTTTTCCACCGTTACAATAGAATTCACCCTGATAATGGCCTCAAGATAATAGTTTCAGATAAGAATAACTATAATAGATATTAAAATTTGAGTCGATCTTGTTCTGAGAAAACTTGTGAATAAAACTTCAATTCAAATTAAAGTATGCTGTATTCTTGCTAATATTGTTCAAATTAATTAATGATTTTTCTTTGAAAACAATTTAAGTTTAAAAAAATAATTAAATCACTTGGAATAAGATTTTTTCCGATTCTAGCTTTATTCGCCAATTACAGGAAAAGTGGAACTTCCACTTAAAATTTCAACCAATATGTATTGTCATTTTTTATATACAATATAGGTATTTATTTTTTAGACATCAATGCATACTTAGTAACTAAGTCAGTGTGAGCGAAATGCATCTTTCTTTTATATATAGAAATAATTTGCCTGATTCTCATATTAAGAATGTACTGCAATATCAACTTTTTAGTGGAATGAATTGCTTTAAAAGAACTATTAAATAAACGTTTTTAAGAGTAAAAGTTATATAAAAATTAATTGAAAAGTTTAATGGGAAACTTAGTGTTATATTGTTGAAATGGCAAAAAAAAAAAAAATAAATATATCAGTCATAAATGAAATATTTAGAAATAAAAGTAAAATTTTCATTGCAAGAGCTACTTTTTATATAAATTATTAATTATACTAACCACTTCCAAGAAAACTGTTACAATTCAAAAAACACTAAATTTTACAAGATGTAAAAGATAATTGTTGTTTTTTCATGAATATCAACGAATGGAATTTAACTTTGTATACAGATGTAAAAGCATATATAAAAATTTAAAACCTTAAAGAATGAGGATGAATGTAGTGAGAGAAAAAAGAATTTAGTCCCTACCCAAATATTTGACCGTAGTTTGGGTTTTATTAATCAAATATATATAATAAGAACACTTATAATAAGCTTTTGCTGTAGGAACACACATTCACATTGGAATTATTTCTGAAATAAAATACAAAACAATTTTTTTAGTTGTCACTTTTTTTGTGAGATATGAAAATTAAATCTTAAGGCACATTATAATTTAATTCCAAAGGAAGGCACTTCAAATATTTGAAAATCTTAAATTTTTTTTCAGATAATAAATTTTAAAAATAATAATGTTTTGAACTGTTTTAGAAACAACTAAACGCCACCTTTTACAAGGAGCTGTGGTAGGAAGAAGAATCGTTTCTGGAACCGACGCCTACCTCGGAGAGTTCCCATGGGCCGTAGCTATCGGGTTAGACAACATGTTCTTCTGTGGTGGTGCTCTCATCTCAGAGAAGTTTGTGGTGACCGCTGCACATTGTTTGATGACGTATGTCCTTTTCATTTTCATTGCTCATCAAAAACTTTATTTCTCTTCATTTCTTAAATATTTTTGAAAATTTAATCATTATATTCAGTAATTTTTTTTAAATGAAGGAGATGGTTCATGGTGGCTAGTCATAACTTCAAACAGTGTAAACTATTTTGCTGAACTGAAGTTTCGGCCCACTTTGTATGTATTCATTATGGCTAAAACAAACAAGATACAAAACAATGTAGCATAATGCAAGGGTTACTGATACTGGTACTGGTGGAGGGATCTTAATGCAATACTGTGTTAGAGAGCCAAAAAGGGAAAAAATAGAATCGAAAACCAAATTATAATGATTTTTATTGAAGATATAGATTAAAATATCTCAGAAACTAAAACTGTACTGTAAGCAAGAGAATTGCACAGCATTTCATCCTCTTTATAATGAACTATTATTCAAAATTTTATCTTAATATGACACCTTGTTAGAGAGGCGAAAAGGAAAAAAAAATAGTGTCAAAAACGAAATGATAACAAGTTTTATGGAAGATATGGATTAAAATATCTCAGAAACTAAAAATCGGACCTGCATACTGTAAGTGAGGGAAATGTTCATCATTCCATCATCTTAATAATGAGCAATTGTTTATAATTTCTACTTCATATTATTAATCTTATCTTGTTGCTGTTTTCACTTCTATCGTGTGGTCTAAAGCAAACACATTAGTTTTTTTGTGTGTATATGTATTTCACTATGCCTGCAATTCCTAACCAACTTTTAATAAATTATCTAAAGCTAATTATTTCTCCACCATTAAAAAAAATATATCATTGTCAAAAGTGTGAAACCAGGTAAGTCCAAAACTTTTTGGTTTAGCGTTATTTTATTTTTCCGTTAATTTTATACACAAATATTAATTATTTATATTTATTTTTTCTGATATTATACAGGGTGTTACAGGGTTAAGTGGCCAAACTTGCAGTTTACATTTAATAAAGTATTTAGAACCAATAAATAAGTTTTATTTTTTCCATATAATGTAAATAATTCAGAACAATGAAAATCTTCTGGTGTGAATATTTCCTAAACACAGCGTTTGTGGATATACCTTCAGAGGAATCTTTTTTCTTGTTTTGAGGTTCTTAGTTCATTTTTGCAGTTTGGCCACAACCCTGTAACACCCTGTATAACTTGCTATTACATAATATTATATAAAAAATATACATATACATAATATTATTTAAAAAAGTCAATTTAATAAAAATCAAGTTTTTAAATTTTTTTTAATCTCTTCGGAAAAGTTGTCCTACAGTTGTGTTATTTCACACTTTTTCCAATGATATAATTTATTATGTATTTGAATAATCATAAATATTATAATTTTGGTAGTTCTAGCATGTATACCTTGGCTTTAAAATAAAGACTGTCCCCACTCCTTAACAGTTCCATTCTATACCTGTTATCCCCATTTTTGTGCAGCTCAGCCTTCGGTAAATGGCCGAGGTATGCATGTAAGTTTTGAATATAAGTTATTTTTGGTAACTTAACGACAGGCGTGACACACCAATAGGATCACTGATAGTCCACCTGGGAGATCACGATTTGACAAATGACAACGAGACGGAACATGAACTTAGAACTGTTTCGAAGGTTCTCTTCCACTCGCATTTCCATCCCTTCCTGCTGGCTAATGATGTAGCACTCCTCCAGCTCAACGCACCCGTAGAGTTTACAGACACCATTCAACCTATATGTCTTCCTGAGCCAGGTATTATATAATGAATATTCTATTATTTATAATGTAATTAATTATATATTAATTTTGGCGTAGACATACACATGATAAATTGCAAATCATTAACTGAATGACATCCAAATTTTATGAATTAAAAACAAAAGGACCAATCATAAGAAGATAATTACCCATCAAATCAGAATAATAAGAGATAAGGTATATGTATAGTACATAGACAGAAATGAATAAAAATATAGAGAAAAAGATTAATAATAAACATAAATTAAAACCTTTAATTTATGACTATTCTATATTTTTTACTCACTCCTCTCTATATACTATACATATACCTTATCTCTTATAATTCTGATTTAATTTTAACCCTGATAATATTAAGTCTAATCTAAAGAAAGACATGATAACCAAACAAAACATACAACAAATATATTTTAAAAATATGTTATATACTAAGTGAATAAAATATTTTATAGTGTAAGATAATACATATAATAAAATACTGAATTAATTTTATATAATAGTAAGGCATGAAAATATATTTAAAAAATTATGATCAGAACTACATTTTTAAAAACTTTAATTTAAGAGAATAATGGACTGTGTGGTAGATAATATTAACTCTTAAATATTAACTATTAACTCTGCTCTATTAACTTCTTCCATCTCACAGGAAGCTTTATATACCCTTTTTTCAAATTTGTTTAGAGTTTATGACATTAGTCATGGAGAAAATTTTCTAAAGAAAGAAACAAATAATAATCGGATGGAGCAAGGTCTGGGTAGTGTCTAGGGGGAGTCCTAGGTATCAGATTTCTTCAACAGGGATAAGTGGAGAAATCAATCTTAAACAAAAAATAAAGAAAAAAGAAAGAACTTATTGAATAACCTAATAATATACTTTACTTGGGTGTTATCTTGTATTTTCTTGGCCCTGATAAAGGTCTGAAACTTAGACTAAAGCATTGGCAGAAAATAAAGTAATTTGTTTGTCTATTTCACTGTGAGTGCAACTCTCAACCATAAAAAACATTGGTTAATGTTGTAACCATATACAACCTGTCTTAGAAACCTAGTCATAATTTTGGGCAGTTATATTTTAATATTTCTTGCAGAAAACTCATACACCGGAGAAAAAGGAACAGTCGTAGGATGGGGTATCACGTCCTTTCCAATGGGCGAGCCGAGTCCAGTATTACAGAAGTTAGAAGTGGAAACGTTGACCAACTTCCAATGCTCTCGTTTGATTGAAGAGCATGTGACTGTGGGGATGATGTGTGCTTCTCCGACTCACAAGCAAGGGACATGTTTTGTGAGTATATGATTATAACTGAACCATATTTAATCATATCATAGTATATTATTGTAATTGAAGTGTAGAATCAAAAAAGGCTACTGTTAGTGTAAAAGATTGTGTGTAAAAATTGAGTTTTTTTACAGAAGAGCATAAAAATCTATTATTCCTTTATGATTTATTAGAATAATTTCATAATTTATTATTGGAAAAATTCCAAACCACACAGCCTTATGTCTCCAAAATGCAGGCAAAGAAAAAATCATTGGGACAGAAAAGAACAGCAAATCAAATATCACTCCATGAAATCCAATCGCATATTTAGTATGCCCAATCCCAGACTGACTAGGAATCCCTCATATAGATTCTGTAATGAAGAGAACGAAACAGCCTTCCACATTATTTGTCGTTGTGACAGGTTTGCTAGGCATAGACTTGAGCTTTTTGGTGAAAACCAATGGTACATCTCAAAAGCTCTGAATCTATTTATCTTTTAAGTCTACTAAGATACGCAGAAGCGATCAAACTAACATTTTAACACAAGAATGATTCTCGTTTTAGGGGCAAGTTTTAGTCCATTACAACTTTTACGTGATTAGTTTATTCTAACTTAATTTTTTATCCCACTGATATACGATGAAGAAGTATTTCTTCATAATGAAGTATTTCTTCATAATGAAGTATTAAAGATTAAAATATTAAAGAATAGTGTGATTTCATAATTACTTAAACTACTAAAATGTCATTATCATGTATTGTCCCACTCTCAGTTTTCTGGTAAAAAAATTATTTTTTTTCTTTCGAAACCTATGTAAAATGACAGTGAAATTTATTCCCCCTCCTAAAGAATAATTAAGGCATTTTGAATTAAATATTTTTTTTAAAAGAGGAATCATTGGGGAAATTTCTTCAGAGTGTAAAAGTAGCCATGGAGTTGAAGGACAGACAACAGCAGATAGACTGACCAGTTGGGGAGCCTACCTCTATGCATCTATTTCTTATACGTTGAGAAAAAAGCATTTTTGATCTTGGCCATTTGCACGGATAAAGCTGACCGGTAATAGAAGTTGCAGGTATTTAGAAATTGTATTTAAATGCCGTCAAAATTATTAAAATTGCCCATAATCTGAGAATCACCCATAAAATGGTTTACAATATGGAGCACAATAGAACTTTAAGGCCGCAGTGTATTATGCCACTAATGAAAAAAACAAACAATTGTTTTACAGAAGCTTATCTGCAATCAAACAAACTGAAAGAAGTCCTTTTCCATCGAGTTCCATAAAAGTATCCCTTTTTAACAGAACTATTAAGTTAAAGGAATGACTTTGCGAACCATCCATAAACCCTTGCTTTCTTTTCTTAACTTAAGTTCAAATTATGAGTTTAAAATAATGGAAGCAGTAAATCAAATTGATTAGTAACAATAATGGAAAATATCTCAGAATATAAAATAAAATGGAGACAATTCAATTTTAGTTAATAATTAATAAATATTATAATAATTGTAAGAAAATATAAATGTGTACTTAAGTCATGAAGAAGAACGATAAGCTTCAAAACATTGACCAACAAAGCTAAGGAAATTAAATAACGGCTTAAAATCTTATATAATAAATTATGTTAAAAGTATTATAGTTATTATATATACTTTAAATATTTTAGTTCAACTTTATTTTCAGAAAATATTAACATCAAAATTTTCTTATTTTTGGATAATAATTTATGAACCTTAATTTGATTTTAACACAATATGTTACCTAAAACAGGGCGACAGCGGAGGACCTCTCACTATCCAAGACAAGTCTGGGCGCCACATTCTGGTTGGAGTGGTTAGCTTTGGAGTCACAGGCTGTGCAGTGAGGCCAGCTTTTCCAGATCTGTACACGAGGATATCAGAATATATGAAATGGATAGATGTGAATGCGCTATAGCTAATTCTTGAAAACTAACTGCCTCTGCCTCATCAGACGGTTACTGCTGTGATTAAAATTTATAATGTGATATATGAATTTATCATTCAAGAAAAAATATATCAAAATTCACTTATTTATTGAAACTGTAAAATTTTTGTAAATTATACATTAATAATAGTAATGACTAACTATTGACTTTGACTATTCCCTAATGTATTCACATTTAAGGTTATATTATAATATACTATTTAAAAAAAATAATAATTTGTTAAATTATATATGTAAAGGAAAAAAATATGTAGAACTGGGTACGTGCAAGAATGTTTAGTTTGCATTGTACTACTATGGAACTGAAACTACAGATTGAGTTAGGTACATGCCTGAGATATTACAGTAATTGCTCCACTAAAATATTTAAACTGAAAGTGTCACATTTCTTAAATTGAGGCTCAATATCACATGAGTAAAATCTAAATTCAATAAAGAGAGATGTTGCCTTTCTGTGTATAATTTTTTAATTCTCTTCTTACTAGCAGTTTTGGTATGTAATCAGAACTCCATCAGACTAGATAATTAACATAAAATAATAATATTAACAACAATAAAAAAACAATCAATAACAATAATACAAAAACTGGTTCTTTTTACTTAAATATCACGTTACTTCTTATCACTTATTTAGAACCGTTACAGATTGTCAAATACACATGATTTAATAAATTATTATGATTGAACTAATGAGGTTATAACGTGAATCATAAATGTATTGTTTTATTGAATGTGTTTAAAATTAAAAAAAAAACTTCTTAATATTAAGATGTATGCTTGATTCAGACACTTGTTAGTTTGTTTGAGAATAATATTTGAAGATTTAGTGTTATTTGACAAAATATTACAGGCAATGAGACACTTTTGGCCTCCTGAAAATTAATATTGTTAAATATTTAGAATATTTAATAGTCTCAAAGTTAACCTATTTTGTATTGATCTATTGTTTAATATTGAATTTCAATAAAACATTTATTCTTTAAGAATAAATTATTTCTGAATAACATCTGTTATTTTACTAAAAGTAACTGCTACTAAAATTCACTGGTGATACTTAAGTAAAAAAGAGCCCCAAAACTTAATAATTAAACACACAATTTAATACATTATTACACAAAAAACTAGTAATCACCTAATTTGTGATAGTTATATGGGCTATCCCTACCTCTTATGTCTTGTTTTCGCTGGATTTTTCAAGAAAATCCATTCTCTTTCCTGTATACAGCGAGTGTAAGAATTTTACAGTATTGCTTCTATATGGGTATGAAGAATTTTCAAAATGGCCCTTGAAGTGAGATGCGTGGCTTGACCCATGGAGGTATTCTTTCATCTGTCTTTTTAGTTTTCTCCTCATCTGACCGATATAAATGGCAGAACATGAACACATAATCAAATAAACCATACTGTTATATATATACTATAGTATAGGCCACAATTTTACGTTCTTTTTTAAAAATGAAAACTTTTTCCTTTCAGTTTTTCCAAATAATTTTGCAATAATTTCAGTAGGGTACCTGTTACTTTTTGTGATTTGAAAAATGTTGGATTTTATTTTATTAATTTTCTGGAAGGATAGAGGAATTTACTGTATTCTATTTGCGAGCCAATAAAAAGTACTGAGTTTTTGTGACCAAGGAAGGCACGAGTCAAATGGTATTATTATGTCAATGGTGGTTGGTTTTCTGTATATGCCAAATATAAAATAAGGTTTAGCTATGTTTATTCCACAATTTTTATTTTTTATTTTATTACATTGGCAAAATTTCGGCTTGGACGCCATTTAAATGAATGTTAACATCTTAGATGTTGAACATAGCTTAGTGAACATCATTTATTGAAATGTCTTCAAAATGGAATCTTAGATGAAACGTTGCCAATGTAATAATATGAAAAATAAAAATGATGGAATAAACACACTTTATATTATGAATCTTATTTTCACCTTAAATTAAAAAATAAATAGAAGTATATATCAAATGTAATGCATTATTTTCAATCGAAATGGTCAAGTCAATAAAAACGAGATCCCGTGATTCTGACCTCTATATTCCATCACACAAGACAAAAACCTATGAACGTTCCTTCTTAGCCCGCTCCGTCTCCTATTGGAATTCTTTGCCATATAACATCCGTCATGCTTCTTCACTGTCAACCTTCAAATACCTCCTTTTCCAATATCCCCTCACATCCCAAATAGACGATTCGCACCAATAAATTTCATTTTATGAACTGAATTTGTGAGAAGTAAATGGTGGTGCCTACAGTTTAAGTTTTAACATAAAACAGCAATGATTTTTGACTATTATTTTTACTATTTATTTGTATTTCTCTTCACTTCAGGTTGTGCTTTTTCTTTCATGTATATATGTTTATATTTTATACTTTTTGTCTCACTGTGTAGCAATATGAGTAAGTACGTATATATAGTTCCTTTTTTACCTTTATACCACAATTATTCCTGAGATTTTATTTTATCTTAGTGTTTGCTTATTATTTTATGAATCACTGTAAATATTAGTACATTTTGTATTAAATTATGTTTCTATTAGATAGCCTATTATTTATAAATTGTGCAGTTATGTATATATAGATATGTAATTTCTTTTCTGTCTTTTTTTTTTTATCGTAATAATAAGTAAATTTGGAGAAGATTGTATGTTCATTTATATATGTATGTATGTATATATATGTGTATGTGTGTGTATGTATATATATGTGCGTGTGTTTATATATGAGTATATTTTTTTTTGTTTATTTCTTAGTGGTTACATACTACTTTTTAAATAATGTATATTATGTTAGGATTTTTTCAAGTTAGTTTTTGGCCAGATTGGTATTTTATTTTGTATTAATTCATCTTTGTTATTCTAAGGGGACTTAGTCCCAGAATAAAGTTCTATTTTCTAAAAAAAAAAAAAGTCAAGGAAGTTTATTTTATTTTTTTTAGAATTTTCTCTAAAATATCTCAAACCATTTTCACTTGACTCATACTGGCATGGTATTAAATGGACATTAATATCAATTAGGTCTCATTGAAAAAGTCCGATGGCTTGAATGTTGAATTTTCAAATTTTTTTGTTTTTAAGTAGCTGTAATTTTGATTTTTAGAAATAATTAAAGGTATCTCATTGTTAATAGAATTACAAGGTGGATAAACATTTGCGCATATTGATAACAAATTTCCAAAAATTAATAAATAATAGTAATATAGTCGTATGACACAAATGACATGAGAAAAATGAATATCTAACTTATAGTCATGAAAGGTAATAAACAGTGATGAAAAACTAATGACTTTCAATAGTTATAGTTAATGTCTAATTTCATTTTAATGGATGAAAAATAATGAATGGCATCATATCAAAGGTGGACATTGTCACCAAATTCAAAATTGAACTATTAGTTAATTCTTAAAGCATTTTCCTCGCTCTATTAAGTGGTGAAATCAGTTTATACTTAAAAAAATAATCATATGCTAATTTTAGCTTTAAAAATTTTGTTTCAAAAATGGATACCTGAAGCAATACCTGCAATACCTGGCTACCTGAATTTTGTTTCAAAAGTGGACATCTCACAAATTGCCAATGGAATAGAATAGATGGATTCTGATATGTGATTCAATCTTTATTTACTGTTATTATTTACTAAAGAGAATTACCTGTACCACTACAACCCATGAAGGGTCTGGGGTTCAGTACTATTTAGGGAAAGCACTGTTTCTAGGTCAACAGTTATGTAAGGAGGTGATTTGACCGAGATCACGCTCAACCGCCAGGTTTTCCCCCTTAATCAATTATTTAATTGTGGGTACCCACTTTATAGAGGCTGGGTGTGCCCCAGGAGGGTCTCCCGACCCAGGGTCGCCCCACGGCCAATGAAACAGATAAATAAATTTTCTGCCATGAGCCGGGGTTCGAACCTGGGACCTTTGCATCAGAAGCTCAGTGCCCTACCACTGAGCTACCCCACTCCCACTAAAGAGAATTAACACCAAAAAATATTAGTATTTTCTGTTTCTGAACTAAGAAATTCTCTGTTAATCTTCTAAGCTACCATTCGTTTGGAAAATTTTCTACAGCAAACTCCAACTTTTCTTTTTACAAATTTGGGAGATCTACTTTGCATTTCGATTTCTTATAAATAATATTAATAATAAATAAATAATAATACATCCATTTTTTGGTGTTAATTCTCTTTAGTACCAAAAAATGGATGTATTATTATTTATTTATTATTAATATTATTTATAAGAAATCGAAATGCAAAGTAGATCTCCCAAATTTGTAAAAAGAAAAGTTGGAGTTTGCTGTAGAAAATTTTCCAAACGAATGGTAGCTTAGAAGATTAACAAGAATTTCTTAGTTCAGAAACAGAAAATACTAATAAAAATTATTTACAGAAGCCCAACTCCACTTTAAACTTTCCTAATGCAGTTAATATTTTGGAAAACAAAGCCGGGAAACTTAGTTATCAATGTAGAATAGGTTTGGAATGTAGAATACTGGAGCAGAAAGATCAATTCCAGAGCTCAACTTATCAATCCAAAGAAAGTAACTTCAAGCGTCCTACTAAAAAAAAATTTAAGACGTTGAAATGTTATTAGAAAATCATATTGGAAAAACTGGAAGGAGAATACCAGATTATAATGATACAACAATGTGATCGAAACTCCTCGTCTTCTAGAACCCCAGGATAGTAGTCTTTTAACCGATAATGTTTGTAAATGTGCCAATGCATTTCAAGATTTTGATAGAGATCTGTTGTTGAAATTTATTTTATTTTGAATATTTAAGATTTGTGAAAATTTATTTATTTATATGATATTTACAACTGTATACAAAAAATACATCTGGTAAATTCACACATGGATATAATGACATGGAACACATGTTGAGCAACTACACATTGGTAGCACTCTAATAATATGTCTATATTAGAAGATCACGTGGCCATCTTCTTTTCAGACGCCTCGGAGGGTTATCAGGAATCAAATAGGAAGCAAGGTTAGAGACAAGAGGGTTGGGATGGTTATGAAGTTTATTATGGAAGGACAGATATTTGGATTGGGCCAAATCTGATACATAAGGAACATTAAGGTCATTATGGATAATTTTATTTGTAACAAAGTAAGGAGCATTGAGGATTTTACGAAGGATTTTGGATTGTAAGGATTGTATGCGAGAGGAATTTGAAGGTTTGGTGGAGTCCCATAGCTCAACTCTGTAAGTCCAAATAGGCCTTATTGTAGTCATGTAAATGAGTCTTTTGTAATTGATTTGAAGGTTAGAGCGTTTGTCTAGTAAGTGTTGAAGTAGTCGGAAACGTCGAGCTGTTTCTTGTCATTTCAGTCTGGTATGAGGATTCCAAGTTAGACATTTGTCCAGATGGAGTCCTAGGTAACAGGATTTGTTCAACAGGAATAAGTGAGGTGTTGTTAAAGGATACTGAAGGACAGGAAGTCATTGGTTTAAGACGTGAAAATTTATTAAAAAATAAATGTTTTTAAAATTTGTATTTTCTATTACCAGTTTTAAAATAGATGTAAGTGTATTAGTTAAGATTGATTTGAAAGTTCATAGTTGAATTAGTTATAAAGCGAACTATTAGGATTCATTTGTATAAAAAATGAACATCTGTATTTTCAAAGATGAATTTGATTAACTTTTCAAATCATATTGATATCATTCAATATCAAATCATATTGATTCACAGAATTAATAAGGAATGTTCAAGTTGAATTACGAAAAAAAAATTAACAAAATTTGTTTGAGTGGAAGCCTTGCAATGAAATTGTTTTGTTTTTTTAAATTCTAAAAATTACAGATGAACATCTTTGTTACAAGGCCACTCAAATATTTACATGGAAAATTTTAAAATTTAAGTTGAGTATGACAAAGCAAAAATAAATAGTATCCAAAATTTTTACAATTTAAGGCAAATATACTGGCAATAGACATTTTAAGAGAAATTTTAAATTGATGTGAACCACAGCTTTAGTTCTGATGATGGTAGATCTTTGCAAATTGGTTCAGTTGACAGCAAAGTAAATCTTTTTCTAATTTCATATTTTCTATACAGTCAATTAGTTTAATGAAAAACTGAAAAATGAAATGAAAAATGAAAATTCTGACAGCGTATATTGCACCAGTAATCGACACCTAGGTTTTGAGATTGACACATTTTTTTATATAATTAAAAATACCTAAAATAAATTCTCCAGTTTTAATGAAGGAAACAGCAAACAACAGATGAATTAATGAAAAATTCAAACATATCTCCTAAAGAAAAAGCTCCCTAAAACAAACATCAAGTCAGGCTGCATTGAAAAATCAACCAATCGGCTATAGTGATATATCTCCTGAGGTTCAGGCATCACCTTCAAAGTATTCTAGCTTCAAAGCTAATCGTATTTGCACTCTCTTTTAGACATATAAAGCTGATTACAAGTTAATGAATTGAAAAATGTCTATTACTGATAAATTTACCTTATATTGTCTGAAGTTTATATTTATGATTAAAGTAACATTCAAAGGTTTATTGAATTTAAAAAAAAAAAAAGTTAATTTATACTGAAAATATAGAGAAAACCGATTTGTGTTGCACTATACCAGTTTATCTATACTCCTTTTCATTAAGTCTATTTATAGTATGAAAACCAACTGACTATATATACATGTCAGTTTATTGCAAAATGTTTGTAAGTGCACTTTTAATGGAAAGTAAGTATTCATCAACTTTGGTCATATTTATTTAATCAAAATCTCATTAAGAGCTTCAAAATAATATAATTCCTATTATATGTAAAGCATAGTGTTACAACAGTAACAACTATTTCTAGATTCAAGTTTATTAATTTTAAATTTTAAAACTGATAATACTTCTCTTAGATCACCTAATATATCTTTTTTTATTCTTACAATTACGTACCTTAAATATAAGGTTGAGCAATAATGCTGACACTTTTTTTAATTTATGGAATTTATAAAGTAGGTTATATTTTGGAAAATAGTCTTTCAATATGTTCATGCTTTTATGAAGCGATGATGAGAAATGCATACAAATAACTTTCTATTTGGGTAGAATAAATATGTATAATAAAGTAGGAATGAAATCAATATAATGCAGATAGTTCGTTCAAAAGATTATATTAAAAACAAATTATAAAGTTCTCATAATCATCCTTTGCTACAAATATTTTTATAATAAAACTTGAAAAATTTTTAAAATAAAATACAAAAGAAACACACTTGGAAATAATTTTGAAACAACATTTTTCAATATAAATTCACAGCCTTTAATTAGGCGTGTCTCTATCTTATAAGTTTATAATAATAAAAAAAAATATTGCAATTTTAAAGGTAACAATGAACGTAGCCTATCGCTCAACAAAATTTGCACACAAGTTATTTACAAGATAATTTACAGACATTCACTCAACGATGGGCTACACATATAAATATATATCGCCCAAAAGGGCACTCTATTAATCCTTTTTAATATAAAACAATATTTTGTACAGTTTATACAATATCGAGATATTAATCTCTGAAAAAACATTTCTTCTCAAATATATAAATACAGTCTAACTAAATTTCTTATTACAAATCTACCAAAATATAGGCCTAAAACAATTAATGTGAACTGCATCAAAATCGGATGTCCACTTTCTCTTAATAGATAAATACATTGCAATGACCCATCGAGAATACAAATAAGCGAGGGGGAATGACTAATTTGAGATCAAGACAGGGATTTCAGGAATATAACATCCTATAACTAAAAGAGTTAATATACATTTACATAAAAAATAATACCATTCATCTTTATAAATACAGCGCTATAATTATAATAACCTAGACAGCGACCTCATGGTCAATTTCTTGTGGTTGCTAGGAGCCCAGGATTTGCTCTTGGCCCTGAAGTGCTTGAGGTCCTGGGTGTGGTTGGGGTCTTGCATGGTCCTGTACGACTGAGGGTCGCAGAGCTCTTTGTGTTCGGCGAAGAATGCCTTGTATCCGCCGTGGAGGAGGTACATCTCTGGGAAGGCGAGGTTAGGATAATCGTGTCCAGCTCTGTCCTCCTTGCGAAGGAATCTGGAGAGGAATGGTCCGCGCTCGGAAGAAAACTCGCAATGAAAGATGACAATGTTTCTTTTCTCCGAATCCACCTTTGAGTTTCCCTTGCTGATTTTGGGTTCTAGCAATTGCTTGATGATGTGCTCGCAAGTGAACAAGTTAACAGCTCCAATGATATGGCCCCCATCATATTCATATGGATACCTATAAAAAAAATTAGTCATATTTAGAAAGGTTGCATTTAGAAAGAAAAATCATTAAAATAAAATAAAAGTAAGGCTATATTTAATAATGATTTTACAATTAAATTATGCATTTTCAGAAATAAGAAATGCTGTTACCAAAATAAATAACTGGCATGGATTTGACAAACATAAAATAATTTGATTTGGCTCTTGACAATAACTCTTAAATTAATTCAAAGCAAGTCTTGTCTTAACTTAAAATTATATATTTTTTATAACGAATATTGAATATTTAGACTATGGAACAGAATAAATCAAATTGTTTGAAAATGGCTAATAAAATAGGACGAAACGTTAAAAATAAAAATTCTTTTGCTACTTTTTTTTTTAATAATTGAACTGTGTGCGAGTATTGCAGTCTATTTAGAAAATTAACACTAATTGGAATAATTTTTAGCAACAAAAAAGAAGGTTAAAAATTTACCTGCAATCGACAATCACGAAGGAGTTGATGACGTCAGAATACTCTCCGTTAATCAATTTGGCAAGAGTTGTAGAAGAAATAGATTTCAGATCTTGATGCTTTCCAGTGGTCAGGGGTAAAGCAAATGGTCGAGTCAGATCACCGATTAGATTTTCTTGAGTTGCTGCAAGAAAAAAAGATCACCATTTAATAACAACGCAATATAAAATGAAATATCTAGTAAGTCTTAAAATAAAGAATTATCAGATAAAAAATCTCTTCATTTAAAATTTCAGAACCCAATGCTCTGAATAATTGTTATATCATCATATGAGTTTATAACATTGCTCATTAAAGGCAGAAAAATTAAAAACTTCTGCTTTAAATTTAATTTGAAAATTGAAATATCAGGTTTATAATACTTACATCTATGAAGAGCCAACAGGAGCTCGGAATCAGATGTAGAATGTTCCAACTTGGCCTTCCTCGTGAAACCATATTGGAAAAGAGTGCCCTTGTTCTCTTCTGAAGCTCTGTCGCCGAGTGGTTTCGTTTTGTCACCAAGTGCTTTCGATCTTTTAGCTCCGCTCTTCATTGGAGAACTCCTGCGCTTCCTTGCACGCTGCGGTGTCGAGAGGGATCCTGACAGGAGGTTGCCCAAGGTGTTTGGGCAGGAATTAGAATCTTCATCTGTGGCTGCGAGTTCGGCGAACCCGTCCTCGGAGCCGAGACCGCTATCTGAAGAGGCACAAGACAACGACGAAAGAGAGGACAAGTTTTCACTCGAGAATTTTAAGCATCTTCTTGGGGAATCGGTCCTTTTGGGAGCAAAGCCACTGGGCTGAGCAAATCTAAAAAGAAAAATTAATTATTATTAACTAAATTCGAATATTATAAAATATAAAAAAATTTGTTAAGATTTTAAATATATTGAAAATCAGAAGTGTATTCTCATCAATGAGTTTCAGAACCCAATGCTCTGAATAAATTAGGTATCATCATTTTAGCTTACATTCGAACCTTTTTATATCAAATTTTTCTTTTATGAACAATGAATTTTTATTAGGAAAAAGAGTAATTATCAACTAAAATAACATATATATATGTTACGAGTGTGATAATAACAAATTTATAAAATTGTGATTCAAATATATTTTTTTTCACTAAATCTTTATACTAGATATATTGAGGTTCGAGCATGTTAATATATTTAAAAAAAAAAAAAAAAAAAAAAAACTAACCTAAAGGATCCCTCTGAGATTGATGAATCTTGCGAATTGGCCTCCGCATCTTCTAAAAGCAGGTTCAGCCTCCTCTGCCTTACTACAACTGTATACCCAGAAGGACTTTTGAGGACAGGGCTGTTTTCGTCGAAGATGAACCTTCGCCCGCATCTTCCTGGTGGTGTACTACTCACCCGAAGTCCACTCTGGAATAATCTGTAAACAATACAATAATAGGTTAAGTTAAAAAGTTTTAAATAATTTTAATAAAATTTTAAATTAAAAAAAATGTTAAAAAGTATACTATTTTGTATGATTTAAAATTTGTTTTGACAATAAAATGAAGTATAAAAAAGTTCAATGTGCTAGAAAAACAATTGAACTTAAATCAGCTGATTAAATTTATATTAAAAAAGAATAGAGATATATTTAGTAAAAATAGGTATGGTTATAACATTGAAACTTCCACCATACATAAAACATAAAGCAATTAGATTTCAATTCCTGAACAATGAACTTCCAGATTCCATAGGTAAAGGTTATAACGCAACTAGGGTAAACAATATTTAAATAAACAATTGAATAAGTTAAAACTAACTTAAAAGTTTAAGCGAACGGAAACAAATCTATTCATAACTAACACAATCGAGCTTCCAACAGAACAAAGGAATGCTAAAAGGGGGCAAACAAAATGCCACAGGAATTCCTAGCGTTAGAACCGGTTATTAATCGTGTGGAAAATTGCTTTTTTCATTGTTTTTTTTTAAATGTTAAAGACTACAAATATTACCTATCAATACGCGGGCCTAATGGTTGACGATTTTGATGTTTGATCTCCAAATGCATGGTTATAGGCGACTGAGAATACGAGCGAACCATCTTTTTGAGAACAGTACGCCTCGACAAGAGGCACTGAACTGCCGCCTAAAGTGGATACCTGAATCCCCCCCACTTTTCCCGCCCTATCGGTCTGTGGGGGTAACTACCCTTCTTTGTAGATGTAGAGTTATTTAGAATTATCTTACGATAATATAGAAGTAGATACATTAACCAGGAACAAAATACAACCAAAAATTAATAAAAAAATAACTCGAAACCGAACAAAATACGTCTATCTTCCTCTATTAAATTGAATTTCATTTATATCCTATTTATAATGCTTAGAATACCAAAAAAGTCCTCAACGATATCATTTGAGCACAAAACATAATTATAAATCGACTAATATTTTTATTTTTATTCACAAACCACCAAAAATGATAATAGATTTATTCCAGTGACGAACACCTCTCACTCAAAGGGAGGGAAGTTATTCCCGCCGGCGCGCAAACTTTTTCCCGGGTTCTTGACCCTAAGGCCCCCTTAAAATTCTTCGAAGGTATATAATTACCTCCAGTGCCTTACACACGACAGGTGTTATAAATAGCAGGGCTTTCACCTCTTGGACAACAGATGTACTGTTAAGTTAATAATCATGTCGGAAATAGAATTGTAATTAATGTATGAGCATAATCATAAGAAAATTAAGTCATTAAGAAATATTTTGGCTTGTTCTTACGATAACACATGCGAAATGGAAGATTCCATTTTGAATTTGATTTTTAAATATTCATAAATATTTGTATTTGGACTATATATATTTATCAATCGCTAATGACAGTAAATTATTATTATTATTTTTTTTAAGTATAGAATACTTAAGATAGTGAATACTAAACATATCATAAAAAAATAAATTAAATATATATAAAAAATTATGGCGAATTTACATTGAACTCAAAAAGTGGAAAAAGTATTTAACATAACTTTTTTTTTAAACAATAAAATTTCAGTGATTTGGATATATTATTATGAAACAAATATTCATAGAGACGTATAAATAAAATATATATTTATCAATCTTAAAAAGTAATTAAGTAAATTATCTTTAAAAAATCTCCAGGAAGTATATAACTTCAAGTTAATGAATTTAAATCAAGTTCGAAAAATGAAAAAAAAAAGTTTTAATCAATTAAACTTAGATAATGTTTTTTGTAGAAGTCTTATTAATGTTATTGATAATGCATATTTTAGTTTTGAGCAATAATTTATAGGAAACTTTAAGCTGAAATGTAATTAAAAGAGTTCTATAGCAAGAAGCAAATTAAATATTAGATGATCAAATAATTAACTTGAAATATCATTTTATAAAATTCAATTGGTGTTCTCGAACATAATTCTCTTATCATTAAATGCGAGCACTTAATAATCCAAGTAAGAGTAAAAATGATCGTCTGTGACAAGAAGTGATAAAAATCGATAAAAAACTGAGCAGCTAAAAAAAAAGTAAAGGCATCCTATCCACATTCTTTTCAACGCCACCTATCTAACGCGGTGGGAACTTAATAGATAAGCTTTATATTTTAGTCAATGTTGAACCCGCCCCTTAAAAAAATATATATATTTCTTTTTTTTTTAAATCACGAAACATGGTTGTAATTTATATATAAAAAAGATAAAATGTATAATTATATGACCATAATATTTATTTGAAAATTTTACGATTAAACATAAAAATAATTTTTATTCTAGAAAGTACTGAAAAAAAAAAAAACAAATTGAAAGAAAACTTAAACATAGACATTTACAATCATTGCAGAAGTTATTTAAAATTATTCAAATATGTTTTGACATGGGGAGTTTTGAACAAAGGTACGAAACGACGTTGGGGCGAAACTTGAATAGCTGACTAAATAATAAAAATACCAAATAAAGGGAGAAGAAATATCTGGAACTGGAAACTGGATATAACGAGTTGTAAGACTAGTTTGAAATAGCATAAAGCTCACGAGACGGTGCATTCATAAGCAGTTCTAGTTTGTTAATCAAATCAGTGAGGGGAACTGAATGGCGGTTGTGCATTTATGAATTATATTATAGTAGAAACTAAAATTATTATTAAATTATATATATATTTAAAAAATATATAAATGAAAATTTATAATAGAATTTTAAACAGATTTCTAAGTGAAGTTTGAACGCTTTTATTTCCGTAAACATAGGAGTTTGACACGGGTCAAGAGTAAGCAGTCAAGTGGCGCTATCTACCACCTAATATCCGAACTAACATTTTCATTCAAATTTACACGAAAAACACAATTTCTTGATATTTTTATGTACTTAAAAAATCACAGATATATTTTTAAAAAAAAACCTAAAAATATTTCCATAGAAAATATAATTTAAAAATTACATACTAACATAATAACTTCACAATACAAACTTGAACACTGTAGTGTGCTGCTATCTGTAGAAAACCTAATCAAGTTCCATAAACACACACATCAACGCTTGACATAATTTTTTGATGTCACTAGGGCAACTCGCGTAATTAATAACGAACTTTATCTTGAGAAAATATTTAAAAAAATAACAACAACAAAAATACAAATATGCACTGAAATTCCATAACACAAAATAAACATATTTGGAACTGTATGAGAATTGTGATATTTACACAGAGTTATCACTATATATACATTACACTCTTCAAATCCACGATAAACGATTTAAAATACAAATAATAATAAAATAGAAATAACTGATAAATAGTAAATAAAAATAAAAATAGAGCTGTAATCAGTTTCACACGGGGTCTTATCTTAAAATTTTTTTTTCTGGATCAAGAGTAGATATATAAATAATTTTAATTTTACTAAATATGAAAATAGATTATTTATTTTTTTAAAGCAAGATGGAAACAATAAGAAGAAAAGGGAAGTGTAAATTATAATAACAAATTTAGTTTAATACATGCAACCGGAACGCTATTGATAGTATTATCTTGAAAGGACACTTAACTGAACAGGAAAATTCTCAATTTTACTCGAATATTTAGCAAATTTTTAATTTAATTATTTTAAGGCAGTATTTGTTATTATTAGTTTATATCATTGATAGACTATATGTGAGAGAATATGGAAATAGTTATTGAAATTTAAGAAAATTTTAAAATCGCCGAAAAACTCGGGGTAAATTTTTACAAGACCTGAAAATACAAGATAGAAAAATGTGTAAAAATAATATACGCAAAATTTGTAAATACCTAGCGCATGAAAATATATCTGTAGGAGACTCCATAACGAGATCACTGACACTCAATTCACACGAGTCACTAGAGAGCACTGACTAAAATTCTGGGTCTACGGTCTTATAAGGGACTTCCCCCACCACCCTGTCTGTCTTTACCCCCACCACTTTTCCTCCCTCCCTAGCAATGTTTACCAAACATACTTAACTCAGGTATAATTCAACAAGTTGTCTATATTAATATAATATTTAAAAATAATATATATAAATAAATAAATATATATATTTTTCTTTTTTTTAATATATGTATATATATTTTTTTTCTAAATTGATTAATTAGAAAGTTCAAAGAATATTTACTATATAAGATCTTTAATTTTTTTTTTTTGACCTACAAAAATTAAACTTTTTTTTATATAATTCGTAAATCTTCACAACCAGTTTAAAAAAAAAAAAATTTAAGCAGTAAGATGAGTTCTGAGTATAAAACAAAATAATTTTACGAGAAAATCGGAAGGAAGAATATATTAGTTAAAATATGTAATGATCTTAAAATTTTTTTTTCCTAAAAATTATAAGTAGATAATCTGTATAATACTTTCAATATTTCCTCATGACTATATTCAATATTATGAGAATAAGTTCAAGATATATAATTACTATATCAATCATAAAGAAGGAAGGATATGCATTCATTAAGATATGTCATTCAATCAAAGTACTCTAAACACTAGATTAAAACACTGGTTATCTAAAAGCAAACTGCTGTGAAAAAGAAAGACACAAATAAATATACATTGAAAAACATTATTTTAGTTGAAGATATAAGTGTATATACAACACATTATGAGAGTTAGAAGGAAAAAAATGCTATCCATCAATTGACATATTTTCACTAATGATACTATGTACTTCATTTTTTTTTTTTTAAACATTAAAATAATATTGAATATTGACAAAGAAGAGTCACGTATTCTCTTACTTCTTAAATGATATATATATACGATTTTTTTTTTTTAAATATATTTAAAGTAACACCAAAATACATTAGACAATGCACTGATAATGCAATGGAAGGCCTATGACTACATTTTATCTTCTGGTATTTTCCCCCGTAAAATTTCAAATTCATTAAAAAAATTTAAATT